TTTGCCTTCATACTTTTAGGGTTAAGTGCATTAAAATGCAAAAAAATATAAAAGAGAAACAAATTAGTTACCTAGATTTTTTTTAACTTTCTGCCGAGGTTACATAGGTACTTCTGTGTTAAGACGTATTTAAAAAATTGCAATAAACTACGTATTTACATTAATGTTGAATCAAAAATAATACCTAACTAAAATTGTTCATTAAAATAATTGCTTTACCATGTACTAACCACTGTATTTTAATATTTGTTCAAAATGAAGTCCACCACTGTCCAGACATAAACGTGCACGTTTCATTAAATTGTCATTTAATTTATTTAAAACACTAGTGTCACTTTTCACTTCACTAAAAGCGTTATTAATTTTTATTGTTAAGTCTTTTAGACTTTGTGCCTCCTCTACATACCAACGTTTGACTTCTCCCCATAAGAAACAGTCCCACACGTGTGAACAATGCTTTATCCGTCCACAAGATGTTTGCATCGCGGTGATGTAGAAGTCACTCGCATAAGGCTCGACGTGGTACTAGGTCTAGGTCATGGAGCTGTTGAACCGATTGAAAGTGGTACGGATGGAGTCCGGCTGTATTAAGCAGCTTCAATACCGCGAGCTGGCTCACACTAAAGCAACGTGCCGCATCGTGGGTACTGGCTCTAGGACTTTGTCTGCTAAAATAGTTCGCGCATTAGGGACCGCGGGGTTACGGATCCCAAAGGCTCGCATACGAGGTATGCTCTCCGACGCATACTTTCTCCGACCAGCGTTTAGGGTTTCATCACTCAGAAGATAAACTCGTACCATCTCTTAAAACTCACGAATGGTAAATTCTGACAAAACACAACACGATAGGCGCGAACTTCGGGTACTGCGCTTGCGCGGGAACGCGAGGGCACATCACAACGGCGCATGCGTGTGAGTCTCACTGTCGCCACTGTGCACGCGTCGCCCAGTCTAGAGCGGCGGGGGCTATGGCAGGGGGCTGCCGGGGGCGGCGGGGATGCACGGTGGTATACGCAAGAGGAGACGTTGTCATTAAAGTTTTATTTAAAAAATGTGTCCCTATATACCGTTTCAATAGGGATAAAAATATGAAAAAAAAAATTAAACAAATTATGGAAAAGTATTCAATTACTGATACTGAATCACCAAAAAACATTCTCGCACTGGAATAAAAGATATTCCTTTATAATAGATAGGGAAAGTATAGAATATCAGATTACTAAAACTTGGCGCCCTAGGCAACACACAGTGACGACGTCCATAAAAAATGTCAACAAAATAAAAGGCTAATGTAGGTATACCGATAATAGTGTAAATTTGTCAATGACAAAAGAACTTTTGGATATCGTATATATGGAATCACATTCAAAGAATAAAATATATTTTTTAAAGTACTGCATTTATAAGATTATAAGAGTTAGAGTATAATAAAAGCAAACATCTGTTTGCCTTGTCATGTCGCTCCCCAAAGACGAGCGCCCTAGGCAATTGTCTAGTTTGCCTATACGGCCGGTTGGAACAGCCGATAACATATTTATTATTTGTCAAATCACCTACTTAACCTGCGTCAATCATTTCTATTAGTATAGTATATATGGAATTTACTTCACTGAACTTGACTAATGAACGAAAGTCTTGTATTTTTAGAATTAAAGTTTTTTTAAAAATACAGCATATTCATAGGTATACTGTTTATTATTATAGTATACAGTAGAAAAATCTAAATTGCAGTAGATCTACTGTAATTACAGTGAATCTGGAAGGACTGATGGGATTTCACAGTTAAATTGTAATGTTGCCAATGTAATAATGTAAGTTTCCAACTTCAAACATAAAAATAACGAGGAAGTATTAAAAAAAAAAATAGTTCCCGAAATCAAACTAGATGTCCCTACGATACGTTCTTGATTTCTCCATTACAACGCCTCCGGTTTTCTTTCGTGTTTAAAAGTAAATGAGTTTTTTAATATGTGAGTTAAAAGGAACGGAAATGACTGTCCATTCGTTTCCTGCAAAAATCAACTTTTGCTAGAGTCGCCATCTAGTGGAGATGCTTTTTATTGTTTTCCATTCTTTTGGGATAAAAAAAAACAAACATTTTGATATTTTTTTAGGACAGCATTATGGGCTCCTCCTCTACCTTTAGGATCACTTTAGGACATCTAAGCGATGTTATAGTGCTATTACGTTTCATTTTACTACTTTCACATGTTAACGAAGATCGAATAATAAATAATTATGAATATAGATTTACAGCAGTGTTATCAACGTAGTCATTTATCAAAAAGTCGTGTCAAAATAGTTAAATGAAACGAAGTATCGCCATAATATTCACCAAGGTGTCATATCACAGGTACTGGTAAATTTTAAGCATTTTTTTTCAACACTAGTGGCTGCGTATGAGATAAAACCCTTTGCAAGTCTTTGTATGAGATGCATAAATATTCAAAGAAACTATAGGTAAATTCTATAGAAAGTTAATCTTGATTTTATACTATGCCCACTGTTACACTCGGCACACCTTCCCTTATTAAAGATTGCGGAGTGAGCTGGCTAATGAGTGCGCTTGTATAGAAGTTAATTGCAAATTAAATATTTGTTTTCTAAAAATTAAATTGTTTTATAAGATAATTTTAATAGATTGCGATTGCTAAAAATTAAAATAAAATTGATTTAAGTACCTATATACGTTTTCATTTACTTATTAACAAAGCAATATATTATCTATGAGATGTTTAAATTCAGAAAAGAAACCTAAATAATTTACGTTCAAATAATAAAAATAATAATAATAAACTTTATTTGCATTTCCTACAACACATTCTAATTTATAACTGTTTAAGATTAAAATAAACTAAAACAAACAAAACAAATAATTCTGAAGCAACAGAAATAAAATGAAAAACAAAAACAAGAAATATGTCGGATTGTGTGCTGCAGCAATGCAAAAGGGTCATGGCTCAGGATACGATTTGCCTACAAGGAGGCAAATCCCTCATATTCTGCCATAACCCTGAGGAGCATGAGACGCCAAAGTGCCGTATATTAAAAATAACTTCGCATTAGAAAAAATAAAATTTATATATATAAATATATATATATATATATATATATATATATATATATATATATTAGAATAAATATACAATATATAAAATCATTTGTATATATCCATAAATATAAAAGAAAATACGCATCACACCTCACAATCTAAATGGCAAAATCCGTCACCGAGTACCACCTAGGTATACCCACACCCTGCTTTTCTAAAGGAAATTCTTTGAAATGTTTTTTCAGAATCACTTTTGAAGTAGATATACCCAGAGGTGGTGGTAAGTTGTTCCAGCATTTGGTTGCTAGGTAACGGAAACTACCAGTGAAAGCAACTGTCTTGTGAAGGTGACTCTCCAGTAAACATCTATTAGCCCTGGCTCCATACTTGTTGGGACAACGAAATCGAAGCTTAGTGAAAAGATAAGTTGGCTTCTGCAAATTTGATAATGTCGAATAGAAGACTGGCGAGATGCAGATGTCTACTCGAAGACATATTTAACATCGAAGCCTTATTCAAATAGCGTGTAATGTGACTTCTAGGAGGTATTGTAAAACAGAAACGACAACAGGCATTTTGCACTCGCTGAACAAGACGACGAGTCCCTGAAAGCAGGCGTGGATCATACACTAGATCTCCATAATTAAATTTTGATAGTATCAATGATTCACATATATTTATACAAACTTTTGCGTCTAGAAGATTGTGAATCTTATAAAGCACTTTCAGCCGATAAAAACAGTTTCTAAGTAAATTCAGTATATGGGTTTCAAAACGCAAATAACTCTCCATAGCTATACCCAAGTTCCTAACCTCTTTTACCTGGTCAATGTGATGCCCTATTGATATTTGGCTTATTTTTCATGATCTGGCAAACTTGTGTCTTTGAACCAAGAATCATATATTTAGTTTTGCTAGAATTAAGTACCAAGCCATTATCCGCTGCCCACACTGCAACAGCATTTAGATCTTCATTAATTTTTGCAGTTGCCTCGTGAAATTCACGTGGACGAGCCGATATATATAGCTGGACGTCGTCCGCATATAAATGGTAGCTACAATATTCAATTACTCTTGTTATATCGGCCGTATTTAATATAAAAAGTAAAGTTCCCAATATAGAACCCCGAGGAACTCCGTGATCCATACGTTTAGACTTGGATAGCAGAAATTTACCATCCTCTCTTGCAAGCCTGACCGATTGATTACGTTGGTTGAGGTATGATTTGAACCAACGCAACGAAGTATCACTAACACCGTAATAATGAAGTATTTTCCAAAGTGCTATTTTTGATATTCATGAACAAATCTGACTTCTTCATAAATATCAAAAATAGCACTTTGGAAAATACTTTGTTCAGAAAAGATTTCACACACAATAAAAACTTAGATTATAAATTAAATCAATTTTATAACTGTCCTTTGTATCATACTTGTAAAGTGCCTGAAGTAAAATTAGGAGGATAGTAATTTTCTTTTAAATTAGGTCATTTACCCTAACCTACTATAAAACATTACGCTGATAAAACTACATTATGAAGACATTTGTAAGACGAGATTCGTTATTCAAGGACTGATACGACATGGAATAGTGATAACTAGAAGTAAGATTTGACCATAAATGTGAGCCATGAGTAATATTTATAGTAAATTAATTCATGTTATGATTATTTCCTAAATAATTCTTTTTGTAATAATATTTTTGATTAAATAAAATATTAGCGATGTTTTAAAATGCCGCGCCAACGTGTTTCTAAAATAAACCAATAGGGCGCAACCCAAACTACCAACCTGTAGTAAATTGTCGGAGTGATTGCTATTTGCAAGGTTGGCAGTAGTGTCGACTATTGCAAATGGTGGATTGCGTTACTTTTTCTCGTGCTCTGTGTAAAATATTTACGTAAAATAGTGTTTATTTCGTCGTGCAGTGTTTCTGACTATAGTAAACATGTCGGAAACACTGCCGAATAACAAAAAACAAGTGCCAAGACAGCTGGTGAGTGTTTATTGTTTAATTTTTACGTATTTAGTCCCGGGTGACGCCATGGTGGCTTTATCTGGGATCACGTAAACATGAAATGGTGCATCACTGCATCGTGTATCGATTAATCAAAACTTTTGGGGTTGTGATGAGGCTAAATTCAGTAGCTAAAATATTAGGTGTGATGATTGTCATTGAGGGTCATCGGACTTAGTTTTTTTGCTATCACGCCGCTCGCGACCGAGTTTAAAAACGCGGCGGTCATATGCATTCGCGCATGCGAGAAGGTGTTAAAATCTATAATAGTTCCGGAGATCGCAGTATTGCGATATTACCACGCCGTGATAATGAATGGTTCAGAGAGACGTGCGCGTTGCGACGTCTGTGAGCATATTGTGTTGCTGGTAGGAACGATGAAGGCGTATCTCTCCCGCGGCCGACGGCCGAACGACAGGCAGGCGGCCGCGAGCTCGTGCGCTGCGACTACACGTCTGTCAATTCCTAATCTCCTTTATTACACGTCTAATAATCATTCGTCCTGCTGAACAATTAGGTGTTCGTTGTTGACCGACACAGCACTGGCGATGAACCCGTAACGTAGTTCTCTTATTAGAAAATCATATGAACTCTATTTCTACAAGGATCTCTTTGTTTCTTTATGAATAAAGCCTACTTGAAAGTTTCATTGTTATAAGTACTCGAGTTGTAACACTTTTCTTTGATTTTCAATGGCCTTGGTTAGTACTAAAATAATAACCGGCTTGTCATTTCACAACTTAGCTACATGTTGGCTATGTAAACAATGAATACGAAAGTATCTTCAGCACTAGCTGAACTAGTGTTAAATAAAGTAATATTATTCCTTAAACTAAAATAGAGATAGTTCAGTCACTCTATTTCTTTTGATAATGTTATTTCACCTATTTTTTAAATTAAACCCATCAAGTTTTGCTCTATAAAGGGGTATGGCTAACAGTTGTAAGCTGGTTATCTGTGAAATAGATTAGATAAATAGTTTTTGGTTAAATGAAAATTATAAAAGTAAATTTAACTAAAATATATTGTGCTTATTTACCAAAAACTTGATGTCAAGGTCACCTGTTTATTGATTATTTTCTAAATAAAAATTGCAAAACCATCATTATCTTTTATTAATTTAGAATTTACTTCAATATAAACTTTTTGTTAATACAATAATGTTTATTAACAGCGTGAAAGAAAACAGCGAAAACTTTATTCAGACGAATGGGCTCTCGGAGACGATGAGGCTGAAGGTGGAAGAGGCTTTTCCTTGGCAGATAAGCTGGAAAGTCCTCGCTTCGAGCATGCTGGCTCTGTCCTGGAAATGCATGGTTCTGACATAACAGTGTCATATCTTCAGAAGAATGGATTTACCACACCTCTTCTGTTCAAAGAGAAGACAGGCCTAGGATTAAGGTAATAAATCTTTCTTTTGGCAATTAAAATTGTGTATTAAAGTTTTATATCAATATTTTGAATTCAAGCAACAGTTGATTGGGGCATGTAGCCTGATATAACACGTCCTACACCTTTGAATTTATATTATAGAAGATTCTATATATGATAAGCTCTATAAAATAACTATTTTAAAAATGAAACATTTTTATTACAATAAACAATGATAAACTTACCAATTTTTCAGGTTAACAATAACTCTTTAAACTAAAATCAGAATCGTAAAATATTATATCCTAAGATTATATCTTTAATCTATTGAACCTTTAATATATAGAATATAACCTTAAAAAAACAAAGACTAGACATTTTTATCAAAAAAGTCATCAAAATGGGTCTACTATTGATAAAAATATTGTAGAACACACCTAAAAAAATGCAGTTCAATGTGTAACCTATGGTTATGGTCAAAAATGTGATTGTTAAATTTCATACAAAGTATCAGAATACAACAAAAAATATAATGGAATTACCATTTTACCTTCTAAGGAACCACTTTAAATTATTCCTACAGTTAGCCTAAGTTTCTATGACGTCGTAACAACGACGGTAACAACCGGCTTTTAACGGTATCATTTTTGGGAAAAAATGAAAAGAAATTAAGTGAAATGACATGAAAGTAAGCATGATGGAAAAATAGGATTCGAAATCAAATCTTTAATTATTAGAATTAGAAACTGAAGAGAGAAATAATTGTCAAGCTAAAGAGCTTATTTGTTTGTTTGAACAGTCCATTTAATGAGAATGGCTATAGGCTATATATATAACATCACGCTATGGCTGATAGGAATGTACCAGCAGTGACAAATGTTATAAAAAAGAAAACTACGCGGGCGAAGCCGCTGCCTGGCGGAAATCTAGTTCATAAATAAAAAAAAATCTGTAGGAAAATTAGTAGAAATTACTATCTTAGCAGCTGATTCTTTTTTTTATATATGAGAAGTAAAATACCTAGGTATTATAAACAACAGATGAAATCTATTATTAACATTTGATTACCACAGTAATGGTTGCAGGTGATAACTGACATGCACCTGTTTAGTTCTAGGACCAAGTATCACTAGGTATAGTTACATCACTGAAAAAAAAAATTGTACTAAACTGACAAAGCTGCCGTATGTGACTTATAAATATTAAAAAAATGCTATGCCAAGTAGATATTGTAAAATTGCCAGTTACATCGTCACAGTAGTAAATTGCGTCATTGACACGTTAACAATATAAAAGGAGACTCATTATTTAGACACCTTAAGAGGGCGCTCACACCGAAATCATTAGCTTTCAACTGGTTAATTTAAAAAGAAAAAAGAAAAGGTCTAAATAAGCTATAATTAAAAATGATAAAATAACGTCATATTTGAAAGGGCTCTATCACGGCCAAAAAGTGAATTATATTCTCGATATAAAAAAACACAAAGCTAACCTTAAAGATCACAATTTTAATATTTCTTGTTATAAATAGAAAATTGGTATATGTGAAGTCATTTTGTTGTTCTTTTTCATAATTTTAATGAACGTAATGCCACATTACTACAAACACAGATATTGTTATAATAATTGTCAAGGCACTGTCAATTACTAAATGAGGATTTTTTCTGGATTGGCTATTAATGCTCTAAATAATTAGCTTTCAGTGTCATAAAACACGTTGGTATTATACAATTCTAAATATTTAATGTAAAAGTTGGTTCCTAGCATGTGAAATTATATAATGGAATGATTTTATTCCCTTTGGCGACATTACGCTAATAATATAAAGTGGAATTTTCTTTTGGCTTGGTTGATCCTTTTGGCGCGGATACAAAGAGAGGCTCGATTTCGGCAGCGATTCTGCGTTGATAAGTATACCATCACTTATCAAGTTATCAATTTGACTTGTATGTATATAATTTCGTTGAAATGCAAAAATATATATAATAAATTATAGCCTATTTTGGCTTCAAACACGTCTGCTAAATTTTGTAAACGTATATGAATGTCTGTATGTTTGTCCATGTATGTATCGCAAATTAGACAACAGCTTGCAGTTACACTTTATTTGTTTACTTAACTTTCAACTTAGGGAATGCTATATCAAAATTTGTATTTTACCGACTTTAAAAAGAAGCAAGTAAAAAAATAATTTTGGATTTATAAAGCCAACTACAAAAAAGTGAAAAACAAATCACGGACCTTCTATTGGTTTGTAAATATTACTAATAACCAATACAAAACCTCGGACTAGAATAGAAGTTCTGTGACTTTTTTTTAATTGTAGACGTTTTAATTTTTGCAAAAGGTATTTTCATTTCCCGATGGATACATTGATTTTGTAAATTATTACAATACATATCTCAATTCGTGTGTAGTATTTAAAAAGATCACCAACCGGTCCAAGTCCCGAATATTCTGAATGCATATTTATCAAATAAAAATTTACTTTTCATAATTTTGACTACATCGACCCACTACGGTTATTTAAATGAATTTTCTAGATTTCTCTTTTTTAATGGTTATGTAGGTACTTACGCTAAAAATTACGTCCCATTGGTGATCTTTTGTCTAACAAATATAAATGGAGTTACGTTTTCTTACTAAATCGCTAATAATAACGACTTCTGAACTCGTGAGTTTCTTAATAATTTCACTTTACTCAAACACCTCTAATTTAAAGAGAGATGCTTTGACTTAATTGAACGTGTTGGGCAAATCACCTGCAAATTTGCTATTCGGAAGTTAGCTTTCATGTTCAATGTTGACCCACAACATAAGCAATCTTAATGTTCTTGGATAACATAGAGTTAGTCTTCTAATGGGATGGGCATGGTGGCGTAATGCTATACTGAAAATTATTCTTAATACAAAATGCTTCAAAAATCCACTTGGTCCCTGGCACCCTGAGACGGGATTCAAACCCACGACCTTTCGCAGTTCGTGCGACTGCCCTAATCACTGAGTTACCCAGGAGCTATCAGGACTTACGAATCTTTCAAGCAATTGTTAATTTTTTTTCGCTACTACAGAGCGTATTCTCATCGATGTTCAGGCATCCACACAAACAGCCGAAAGAAATATTTTTACAAATATTGAAATTTTCGATAAAGATGAGAATCTGTTCTAATTATTATATTTCATTAATTTCGCATTCACAATGCTATACTGAAAATTATTCATAATACAAAATGCTTCAAAAATCCACTTGGTCCATGGCACCCTGAGATGGGATTCGAACCCACGACCTTTCGCAGTCCGGGCGACTGCTGTAATCACTGAGCTACCCAGGTCCTAACAAGAGTGACGAATCTTTCAAGCATTTGTTACTTTTTTTTCGCTACTACAGAGCGTATTCTCATCAATGTTCAGGCATCCACCCAAACAGCAGAAAGAAATATTATTACAAATATTGAAACTTTCGATAAAGATGAGAATCTGTTCTAATTATTATATTTCAATAATTTCGCATTCACAATGCTATACTGAAAATTATTCTTAATACAAAATGCTTCTAAAATCCACTTGGTCCCTGGCACCCTGAGATGGGATTCGAACCTACGACCTTTCGCAATCCGGGCGACTTTTAAGCATTTTGTATTAAGAATAATTTTCAGTATAGCATTGTGAATGCGAAATCAATCAAATATAATAACTTCTTCTAATATTGATATTACTACCAGCTGTATTTCCGTAACTTAGTCCGCCTAAAATTATTTCCTATGTCATCTGCCTATATGTTATAGGAGAAAGAATTTTTAAAATCGGTCCCGTAATTTCGCAGCCTACTCAATACCTATCAAATTTTTCCTTTTTATAATATTTGTCAGTATAGATATTTGTTACCACATTTTTCAACTAAGAGAAAACACTGAAAAGAAACAATTTATTGATGAACTTTTCTATTTATCATTGGTCTTGGCAACCTACTCTATTTTTTATTTATTCTGCGGTTAGAGGCTTGTGTTGTGATGGCGCGGCGTTGACCGCGTTCCCGCCCATTTCGGTAAGTTGGTCCACACCTTGGACAACTGTTAGGTAATAATATTTGACGGTGGTGCGCATGCGTGACATTTTTTCAGTCTCGAACTTACCCGACGAAATTTTCATCAGTCTTCAGGAAAGTATGCAAATAATGTTTTGTTCTTAGATTTTTTTTGAAGATCGTGCATATTTGATTGGTATATGTATATAGAGTTGCATTCCTCATTTCATCATATATTTTATGCTTGTTTTTTGGTCTTTCAATCTTCACGAATTATCGTCATTATTTAATTCATCCAATTTATACATTAAATGAATTAAATACCAAAACTGTAATTGATCCCATGAAGATTATACTCTTATTCGTGAGTAATACCAAACGGACACTCAATTTTGTAATAGTTATAATGAGTGCCTGTGTTAAAATTGTTATGACACTACTATAAACGAAATAAAAATATCATAGAATAAAAGGTTTATGATTAATCGTTAATTTATAAACAAAGGGCTATTCGAATACAATTAATTTAAATTTTGATTGAAACGTGTATTTTATTATGGTTAGAATTACGCCATAAGAATCCATAATTCTCTTATGTAGTTAAATTTTCATTTTTATAACAATTAATCAAATTATGTATTTTATATGTTCACTGTATATTTATTGTTTTAATTCAGCCATATTATAGTAAAAGTGATATATAAGTATTACAAATGAAATGAAAATATCTTTATTCAAGTAGGCTATTACAAGCACTTTTGAATCGTCCAAAAAATTTTTTTTTCCCCTACCACTTGTTCAGGACGTCTTTTACATTACAAAAACATATGAGCAACTTTATTGTGAAGCGAAATGTAAACAAACCCGTTAGAACCAATTCTTAAGTTTTTGTAGTACAAGACTATATCGGTGTCCTTGATTGTTAAAAGGGGAGTGCTTATCGTAATATTCCCTCATGATTTTTACTCGGTATAAACGCGTCCGATTTTGTCGAATTCGCAGTTTCAAGTTCGCCTCATAAACGCATCCACAGCGTTATCTAGACCCCCGCAGAGTGCCTACTGCCGAGACATCGGTAATTTTCTATTCACTTTATTCTGAAGTTGGGAAGGACTGCGCATGTCTGATTCTTTTTTATAATCGTCAAGAGAATTTCCGGCGTATATTTAGGATGAATTTTACATAATGGTTTCATTATGTTTTTTGATGTTATTTTTTTTAATTGCTATTTGACTTTTCAGCGAGTGCCTATGCAATATTTTGATTGCAAGGCATCAAATACATATCATTTTATACTTTTGTTTATTGATATTTTCCCACAATTGTTTACAAGTTCTTTCCCGGTTTATCGTTATCATAGTTTTCTCATTATCAGTATGTGATATGTACCTATATTAAATAAAGTAAAAAGTAATATTAATCGGTCAGCTCGTATTCGTATTGAACTGAGATCGATCTATTCGTAACTTATGAGGTTCTACGTACAGACGACCATCACGTGCTCTAAACCAAAGGCGGAATGCCGATGTTGGATCGGAATACAGGGCTTAAGTTATGAAGTTCGAACTGCGCATGCCTGATGTTTATTTTCAACAGGAAGGGAGGTAGATTTGCTCACATCATGACAACGAACGTTTTCCAATACCTAATTAATATATATTTTCAGCTTTTTACGTACTAAATTTTCTGTGATATAGCTACGAGTACACATTTATCTGTGACTGATAATTAAATGACTATTTTCGTTAATTTCTGTTTTCTCTATGAAATCACGCAATTTTCACTATTAATTAACGAAAAGCCTGCTTAAGGAATGGTTACTCATCTTTATCATCATATAAGGCAATAAATTCGGACCTTTTTTTTTATTAAAATTTACACATACTGCAATGCTTTTGACTCTTGTATATTTACAAGGATATCAAATTATTACACAGTCAAACCACTCAATAAACTACATGTTCGCGACTTAAAAGGTAAAGGCCATATATCAAATAAATTGCTCTTGATTCTGAAATATTAAAATTACAGTTAGGTATCATGTACAATTTTATAAGAACTCGCTTGTTGCAGGGTTCCTACCAGTAACTTTACGGTGAACGACGTGCGAATGTGCGTCGGTTCGAGGCGCCTCCTCGATGTTATGGACGTTAACACCCAAAAGAACATCGAGATGACAATGAAGGTACCAGGCTTATTTTAATTGTAAAACGATACATCCATAAAGTTTAGTATATGAAGTAGTTTTACTTTATGAAGGCAGTTCTCAAGGTATATTTTGCAAGGATACGTGCAGCATAGGAATACACCTATTCCGGTCGGTGGTGATCACTTTTAATAAAGCCGGATTTATATTACGAATTAGTTGCATGAAACTAGTTTCATTGCATTAGTTGCGTTAATTGCGTGAGCAGATGCACGTGTAAACGTCCACTTTCGCAATGCATTCATTAGCTTCACGACACTATAGTAGCTTCGTGCGTGCGATGCATATATTTCTGATGAAACTAGTTTCATCTGAAAAATATATTAGTATTTTTTTTATTTACCCCGGTAAAAATATAGAAATCCCTTATTTTTTCCCCTATTTAAGCATTTATCCCTTACAAACTGAAAGAAAATCTGACCCTTCATGAATAAGGTTTTTTGATGATCAAAATACTGTAAAAATTCATCATCATCATCAGCCCTTTTACGTCCCCACTGCAGGGGCTCAGGCCTTCCTTATGGATGGTTTAGGAGGATGGGCCATGACCCTCCACGCTGGCCCCATGTGGATTGGAGGGTATTAACGACTGCAAATGCATCCGGGACCAACGGCTTAACGTGCCTTCCGAAGCCCGAAGTAGCTCGAGATAATAATTTTTTGGGCACCCATCCCGTTACCGACCCTTACGAAAGTTGCTTAACAACAACGATCGCGGGCCAGAACAGAAGACAATTTATTTTACGCAGTAGGTACACCCGCCATCTCTATGATTGACTCGCATGTAAATTTCGCTGTTTCCTTTTCATTTTATATAAACACATGCGAAAGATGGGAAAAGCCTCTAAAACATATCAACAAATCTGCAAAAACTATTCTCTGTTTATTTTTAAACGTAGTTTAAGCTTGACTTGTTTCTTTCGAACTTAAACCAATTTGCTTCGTCTTCGACGGCTTAACAACAGGAAAATGTTCACTTTTATTTATTAGTTGGCAGTTCTATTGGAATATTTTTTGTTATTTCTTTTAGCAAAATGAAACGGTAACGTTACGGAATCGTATCTTCCAAGTAGTGTATCAGTTTGAAAATCTAGTAGCCTTTTCTGCTTAATAAGCTAAAAAAGAAATAAAGGTGAATCTATTTTTTTAATGGTTTTATGAAAGATAATTTTATTTAAAACTTGCGATCGCAGAGACGGGTGCTCAATTTTTTTCATTTTATTCGGTTAAGTATAGATTTCTATTTCTTTCGACTGCAAATGCAAAGTATGTATCAGTTATGTACGAATGTCTTGTTTGTTTTTTTTTATGATAATTTTAAATACATTTGCCATATAAGTTAAACATAAAGTTTTCAAATATATATACCTATATATAAACTATATTTTTTTTTTGAAAATACGCGAATGGAGTAAAAAACAAACTAAACAAATATGTAATAAGCTTTTTAGTAGTAACGAATTTTATTGCGATATGTATTTTCTAACATTTGGGAAGATATTCGGTAAGCAATATTACCGATTGAATTGTTACTTCGTGTAAAATTGTGACATTATACTTTCGGGCGTATGTATTGATTCGTCTCATGAAATAGAGGTGGTTAGCGATGGATCATCCGTCTAGTGTGCTTGATTGAATTTTAAATCATATCAGCTTTGTCTACGTTATGCTTGACTTTGCGTTCGACACTTTTTAGAATTTTTCAGAATCTTTCGTCAGATGGGCTGACCCTTAACCATATACCCTCATGGTCCGTCAGTCTGTGGAGCATACGTTATTCCGCATATCAACGGAAATATACAGTAGCTCATCTGTCAGATTTTTACAGACCCTTACGCATGATAACTAGTATAAGCTACGTTCTATAGAACGTTATAACTCTCCATTTGTTTCCAGAACATCATGTAAGATAAGAAATAAAATGTACAGCATGTTGTCTTCAAATAGGTAGACTATTATAATTGCGATTCATTATTAATTAGAGCCGTATAGTTCTAGTTCAGATGATACGCAGAAAATAAACTTTATTATGTAGTTTCTTTAATAGTTTTTTAGCGGCTTAATGAGAATACGCATTTTCATATTTGCCATTAATCAACTTTTAAACCAATCGGGCGAGTCGAAACACTATTTTGCTATGTTTTTTTAATAACAACTTTAAAATATCAATATAAATCGATGGTTTCTACACTCAATAGCGTATCTGAAGATTAATTAAATTTCGTCTTATTCGAAACGCTAATATGACTGAAAAGAAACCGATAATTTATGTTATTATGCAACGAACGTAAAATATGACACTGTCTGATGCACAGATAATCATCACGGATATGATTTTAACAAAACTCTAACAACGATTTGAAAATTTCTGAATTTTCATACGTAAACAGTAGTAGGCCCTCAAGTTTCCCAAAATAAGAAATAGTCATTGTTTTAAAACTTTCATGTGTTGAGAATTAACCCTAAATAAATTGCAATCGATTTCGTAATCTGTTGTGTATGTTTGAGTATGTCAATGTGGTCTGCGGTGGCTCTTATCGCTTTGGCGTGAGTCGGAAACTAGTAAAATTTTGTGTGAACTACTTATATTTTACTTCATTTTCAACCTTGTTAAAAGGACTGGCAGCGTTACTACGATGATCCGAACAAGGAGCGTTTACTGAATGTAATATCGTTGGAGTTTTCTCACACGAAACTGGAGAATTACGTCCAAGCGCCGCGCATCGTGCGGCAGATCGACTGGGTGGACACCGTGTGGCCGCGGCATTTGAAAGATCAACAGGTAATTTAAAAAGCCTCTCACTGAATGCATATTAATTTTCATCGACTGTTTTGACGGAGGTGAAAGAATATATAGGTAATTAAACCATGATGATGTTATCCTGTACCAGAAGGATAAAATTCTTATCATCATGATTACAAAAGGTATAGAGAAAAGCTGGCAGCATTAGTGTATGCTTAAATCCCACAGTTACGGCTATAGTACAATGTGTGCAGGCAACCTTGTTGATTAATGCATGCAGTTAACGACGATATATTACTGTAAAATCCAGAAGTCTATAAAACTCAACCATAAGTATAAGTATAATATAAATACTAGCTAAAGCGCGTATATGTCAATCATAATATAGGCGAAGATATCACAATGCTCTAGACCAGCGACGATAGAAGAAAAATGCGTCTCCTAAATTTTTATCATACTTTGATACTTTTAAATCTATGTACAGACCATTTTATGGTTCACCCTATTTCAGCCCTTCCTATCGATGGAATGAAATAAATTGAACTGACCATAAATAACCGTGCAGTTTGAAAGGCCTTCCGAAGCTAGGAGGAACTCTAAAAAATAAATGTTTGATCGCCCATCTTATGACCGGCTCTTGTGAAAGTTACTCATTTTATGCATCGCGGATTGATCGTGATATAACTGTGCCATAGACTTCACTTTATCTGGTCGGAATTATGTTTCTTACAGACTGAGTCAACCAATGCATTGGATGATATGATGTATCCGAAAGTGCAGAAGTACTGCCTCATGTCTGTGAAGGGATGTTACACAGATTTCCACATTGACTTTGGCGGCACGTCCGTATGGTACCACATCTTGAGAGGTAAACATCATTAATAATATTTTATTTAGTTTAAAAACAAATTCATAACTTCCCAAAATAATATAATCCAAATAGTTAAATAGAACAAATACATATCTGTTTCTGGGTTTTCAGTAATAGATAAAGCTTGGAAGATATTTCACGAATATATACTTTTAGATTTACATTTTTCTTATTTAAATAATAATAACTTTATTATAATGATCAAATTACCATGTTTTTATTATTAAATTATTATTCGTAAAGAGTATATTGGATTAGTCAAAATTTTAAATTACGAAAGGTGAATAATAAAAAGAAATGACGTTGAAAATCAAAGACAAAAAGTTTGCATGCGAATACCTAGAACGAAATAAACGGCCGGTGGTACGGCGCACCGTTACACGGTTACACTTAACCGGCGCATTCAGAGATCTTTTAACTACAATACAAATAATGATTTTATAAGAGTAACCTATAGTCTCTAAAGATGACACAAATGGTCTTTTTATCTTTAAAAAATAAATCTATATTCGACTTTAATTGTCTTTGAGTACATCGAGTAATCTTCGTTACATAATTAATTATAGGATCGGTTGGCGATAAAGAATAATTCGAGTTTTTTGGGAAAAGATTTTGGCGATTTCTGTCATTTCTATACTCATACCTTAAATGGTCTCTTACTCGTTTTATCGTCACATGAAATAGGATCGATAGATCGATAGTCTAAAAATATTCTGTTTTGATATCTGTGTATTGATTCAGAATATTTTAAAGGTTTTGGAAAGTCTCTTAAGAGCGATTTTATGTTAACTATAATGGCTTAGATCTTTACTGACCTGTCTCAAAAACCACTGTATTATACCACTTTACTATCATTTTGTTAGGTGCAAAAGTATTCTGGCTGATACCACCCACCGTGAAGAATTTGCAGCTGTATGAAAAGTGGGTACTGTCGGGCAAACAATCAGACGTCTTCTTCGGTGATACGGTCGAAAAATGCATCAGAGTCCATGTGAGTATTTGTATGCAAAAATTATAATGATTTATTATGATTGCAAGTCTACTATGTTGGCTTCTATGTTACTTGAAAATTTCTTAATACATAATATGTATTGACTACTTAGTTGACTGCTGATAATGGAGGATTATATAAATTTTATTACGATACAGTTGTAAAATATATATAATACATCTTAATAATCTTTCCAGCTTCAAGCCGGGCACACATTCTTCATCCCCACGGGGTGGATTCATGCGGTGTATACACCGAGTGACTCGCTCGTTTTCGGTGGAAATTTCCTACATCAATTCTGCATAGAGAAACAACTCAAGATAGCTCAAGTTGAGGACGTCACTAAGGTAAATGAAGAGATTTCAAAGAGCTATTCTTTCACTCAACATACCTACCAAATAAAAAATATTTCATAATATAAAGACTGGATTTTATATAAAATATATGCTTTGGTGACCTAGTGGTCAGTGATGTTAAGTTGTATTTCAAAATTCTGTAAAGGTGCCCCAGAAGTTTCGGTATCCATTCTTCACGGAGATGCTGTGGTACGTGTTAGACCGGTATGTCAGCGCGCTACTGGGTCGCTCTCATCTAGCAACAGAAGGGCAATCGACACCGCCCACTCCGCCCAAAGAGCATATACACTTAACGCAGAATGAACTCCACGGTCTTAAGGTAATTAGTTATTTTTAAATTTTTACGACTTTCTCCGTTTCTGAAGTCTATCATGTATGTATGCTTGTGCAGTTTCAATAAAGTTCATTAATACATATTTTTGAGGCATAATAATTTGTACCTGAAGATAAGGACTAGGGGACCTGATTATGCCAATAATTTTAACAAACTTGTTAGAATGTCTCGTTATATTTTTTGGACGTACAGATTGGATACACCTCTTTTTACCACAGACATAAAATGACAAGAAGGACGTAAATTCTATTACATTATCAAGGATTTTTTTTTGTTGTTAGCAGCTGGGCACTTCTTAATGGGGACTTCGAATGCGTGATAGTTAAATATAAATATTGTAAGAATATACAATATTTATATTTAACTATCTTATTTATATTAAAATATCTATCTATTACTTTTGTATTCACATGGTTCGTTTAATGTCATGAAATAGAGTTCAATGTTGTTCAAAAAGTAAGCAATCGCTTATCTCATGTTATATTTTCAGGCCATAGTCATGTATCTCCATCAGCTGCCAGCGGCTCGTAAGTCGGTGCCGGAGCTACTCTCCGATCCGATTGCACTAGTCAGAGACGTGAGGACTTTGGTGGAACAACATAGGCATGATAAACAGCATTTGGCTGTCACTGGCAATCCAGTTCTGAAAGGTATGACTCTATTTCTTAAAATCTTATAAACTAACGTCTTCAGTGTTTTGTAAATTTAAAAACCACTTAATAATATAGTAACGAAGTTGATTGAAAGATCGATAGATAAGAAAATTTGAATGTAGTGGTCTTTTCGATAGAGTTGAAATTTGATATAGGCAAAAACAAGTACACACAACCAGTATAACAACCACAGGAAAGGTTTTGCTTCATCTAAATGCACGCAACGACGATAGTTGCGAATAATTTAAACTTTGACGCAAGGGCTCGACTATAGCGTGTGGCCACACGAAAGAATTTGCGCCCGTCAAATTATGTCAAAAAATAGAGAAAAAAATCATGCAATATCCCGGCATTACATATATCTTTCATTCGTGCGCAAATATATTTATACTATCTATCAATAGGCATAAAGGATAATAACTTTTTGTTAGTAACATTAACTGCTTAAAATCTACACAATATGGGTGCGGAGAGTTAACGAAAATAAATGTATTTTTTTTTTAGTGTTTATTATACTATTACTGATAACACACTTTTATGCTTATTATATTACAATGTTGCTTATTAAAAAAGAAAAACCAATATTTTATACTCGTTTGCGGTCACTTATCAAAACTTACAGAATTCAACCTTATGTAAACATAGAACGCCAATTCGTTTTCGTGGGAAATTTTGAAAATTTTATTTATTTTTGATTTTAACTTATTATATGAATGATTATTTTAAATATTTTTTTTAGATATATATCTATAAAATATTATAAATTTTAAAATATTATAAAATATTATTGGTATTGAAGTAGAAATAATGTAAATTTTATTTTTCAGAGGGTTCTATTCCAGAACTGAGTACTAGTTTTTTTAATGTATGAATCAACTTTTGCTTTCAACTAAAATAGATGTTTTCTAAGAACATTATCATTGTATATCTTATTTTATAATTTTAGACTCTTATACTACCGCCATAAATGTTACACCCAGTATATTGTTATATATGTATTATATATAGGTCCAGACGAAGTGACTACAGGTGAGAGGAGGCATTACAGCGGTCGCGGGGGTCGCGGCGGTGGTCACCGCGGGGGACCCGTAAGACCCCGCCCTGATCACGCCAATAACGCTCCCAGGAGGCGACGAACAAGGTGAACTAAAGTATATTTACTAAAACAAAACTAATCTATATTTACTAAGTTAAAATGAGGATCTTGATGGCACAGTGGTTAGTGGCAGGCACGTATTCCGCCTGCGATACGGAGGTTAAGCAACTATAGCAAGGGCCGGCCGATCATAGGGTGGATGATAAAAAAATTTTTTTTTCAGCTCCTCCGTACTTTGAAAGGCACATTAAGCCGTTGGTGCCTGCTGCATACGCAATCACCAACACCCATCAATTCGCATTGGGTCCGAGATGCGGGTCATGCAGAGCGACCGCCTAACTCTAACCATGTTTCTAGCCATATTCATCGTTACTAAAGTACATGTGATAGTAGTTTAATGTACTGAAATATCGCTATAACATCGATAAGACGTCGTATCCTATGACTAGAGTCATGGCTAGAGTTAGACAGTCGTGCCCCTGATTCATGCCTACTATTTAGTTTATCCATAGGGAAGAACTGTACCCCAGCAGTAAGGACATTAATAGGCAACAATGGAGGTGAGAAGTTAAAAATGCCATATGTATTCGATACGTTTGACTTGATAATCTTTTGACAACTGAATAAAAAAGCAGTTCTTCATTTCAGTTCATTGCAATCTAAAGTCGTAGACAAAAAGACCACAGTATAAAAGGTCCATAAAGTTGTGCAAAATGCCGCTTTTATTTATTTTTATCCATCATTGCCATATTTTTTTGTCATTCATTATCATATTTTTTTTCTAATTTCTTTCACTTATTCCCCATTTGTTTATTGGTAAAAATACACTCTTAATAATTGTTACTCCTGATTTGTGTCCCAAGCAAGTGGATGGTAGTTTGGGCTCATTTCTATGCCCTTTTCAACCCCATGCCCTTTTCACAATTTTTTGTCTATCGCCTATTCTTTTAGCCTTCTGCAAGAACTACATAGACTACTCTTATGAATTTATATAACAACTGAAGGCCTATTCCATCGTTCCTCCGAAAACGAATTTAAGTCTATTTTCGAGAAACTAATATGGCTCCAAAGAAATGCATTTTTTATAATTAATGCAATGGAGGTAGGCTCTGACACTGCCTCTCCTGCACAGATAATCTGCACATATGATTTCAATAAAATTATAACAAACATTCGAAATTTTCGTATAAAGGCAAATAGAATGGGCCCTCAGGTGTCATAGTAATTCGTACGAGTTATAATATTTTTTTTTAATTGTTTCTTAGGTGCAAGAAATGTGAAGCTTGCCAGCGTACCGATTGTGGTGAATGCGTATTCTGTCACGATATGGTTAAGTTTGGTGGCCTCGGTCGTGCTAAGCAGACGTGCGTCATGCGACAGTGTTTACAGGTATTTATAATTGCCAAAACTAATGAATACTTCATCGAAATCAGTTGTAATGTGAGACTTTGGGGATTGATGATAACGACTGAGCACTTTTTTTAAGGTTTTGTACCTTTTGGGTAAGAAACCTTAAAAAAACAGGTTGTATATCGTGAACCGTTATAGCTAGATAGTTGAAATTTTCACAGATGATATATATCTGTTACTTCTATAAAAGCAAATACTAAAATCAGAATAAATATTTATGGGGGGCTGCAATACAACAAATGTGTTTTTATAGTTGTCAGACTCGCACTGACCGGTTTTTTTTAATGTGATATATCGTTTTGTTCATAGCCGATGTTGCCAGTGACGGCTTCGTGTGCCGTTTGTCACCTCGACGGATGGATGCAGACTCCAGTCGCGCCCCAGGCAAAGGGTAACTCCGGTAACTACTGTTCCCCAATACACATAGGAATGATCTTGATTGTACATTAACGATATCAGAATCTACATGGTCGAATGGCTAATAATACACATTAAAAGTATCACGATCTACATAGCTAAGGGCTAATATTCTGTAACTCGGTGCCTGGTTTCTGTAACTCATGGGCATTAGTTATTTGGGTCCTGTGCATTGTACTTTTGTATAATATTCATTGATAATGTAAATTCGCCTTCAAATTAATCAGGCAAGCTTATTTGTTTGGACTCAAAATAATCATTGAAAGAATGATGGGTTGTACTAAAGTTATAACAAGACAATGTATTGAGAGCACCAAAGTAAGCAATATATACATATATATTAATTGGATAGCTTTAAACACACTAACTATACAAAAATTTGTAAGTAAAAAGAAATGGTTGACTGGTAACTAGTATAAAGCGCTAAGGCTCGGTGCATATCAGTAATTTTAATTGACTGCAGTTCATCGGTTGAGTGTTCATGATTAAATATTTCGTTTGACATTTATTTGCTTGGTCGTTACGTAACCAATGATACACGGCGGATTTTCCAACAGATATGATCCCCAATACTACCTTAAAGGTACTCGTATGAATTACATGACACTTGAAAGCAGAATAGGCTTAACATATCTGAAAACGAAATTTTGTCTATTTTGGAAATGCTAATATGACGCCAAAGAAACTTTATGATGGAATGGAGGTAGGACCGCCTCTAATACACAGATAATCTTGATGGATATAGTTTTAACAAAAATACAAGTACTTTCCGAATTTCTGTTCGAAGACAAATAGAATAAGCGCTCAGGTGTCATTGTAATTCGTACGACTTATAATCAATATCATCCATGTCCCTTTTTTGCAGGTCGTGTGGGTCCATCGTCGTTACGCGAATGTTCCGTATGCTATAGTATAGTACACGGCGCATGCGTACAACCAGGTGGACAGATCAACGAAGATTTGCCCAACTCATGGGAGTGTCCGACTTGTACCACCATGGGACTCAATCACGACTATAAGGTACAGGAAACAGTAACAAATATAGTAGTAGTAATTTATACAAAGGGGTGTTAAACCATACATTTTATATATTATGGTTATACAAACATGGCAGATAATAATTTAATATATTCGACCATTGGGAATCGGAATTATTGGGAATTGGGAAACTGTACTTACATAGATTTCCTTGACATCGGATTGAATCATAACAGTCCAATGTTCTATTGGTTCTATAGAATATTGTTATTTACAATGATTAAATTTGGTTTCACCCAACATCACCAACAGTGTTGAATGTTTAGTGCATTTCACATCAGTAGAATGTAACATGTTTCAATCAATAAGATTAATAAATAGGTAAAATTATGAAATCCTACAGCCTCAATAAGTCTTCGGTTGTTGTTCGTCGGTTGCAATTAATACTCAAAGTACATTATACCGGTGATACCATATTTATTATTCAGGTAACAATGTTAACATTTAAAACGAACGATAATTTGTATTCTGTCTTTGCAGCCGCGTCATTTCCGCGCTCGCCAGAAGTCTTCAGATCTCCGCAGGATGAGCGTCGGTTCAGACGTTGCTCAACTTGGTCAACCCCATGGCAATATTCAGGTTTTAAAACTTTATTATCATTTGTATTTTTATGTAAAACTAGCTGTGAAAGTAGTCTAAGTTATTCCTTTTTACATATACTATCTGCCAGTATAATTTCCATCAAAATCGGTCCAGCCCTTTCAGAGATTAATTGGAACCACGTCGGAACAGACCTGCATTACATTTTATTTTGGTATATGTACCATGTAAATAGATACTCCAACTTTATTTATTTGTATAGATAGACAGCACATCGGGTTAACTACTGAGGGCCAAATTTCTCCAATCTCTTTTTTTAAACATTAATCTGATGATACTCCAACTTTATTTATTTGTATAGATAGACAGCACATCGGGTTAACTACTGAGGGCCAAATTTCTCCAATCTCTTTTTTTAAACATTAATCTGATGATACTCCAACTTTATTTATTTGTATAGATAGACAGCACATCGGGTTAACTACTAAAGGCCAAATTTCTCCAATCTCTTTTTTTAAACATTAATCTGATGATAGTTAATTTCAATACTGATTGTAGAAATTAATTCACTAAACTTTTAATGAAAATCGAATAGAAATCTTAAAAATAAGTAGTGAGTCAAAATTTTATTTATTTTATAAGGGGGACTAACAGTTTAAATTAAACATTTGCGTAAGATCTATTTTGTTAATAGCCAATAACAAGCAGGTAGTTCGGTGGCGTAGTGGATAAGCGCCGCGGCCCGCGATCGTAGTCGTTAAGCAACTTTCGCAAGGGTCGGTCACGGGATGGGTGACCAAAAAATTATTATCTCGAGCTACTCTGTGCTTCAGAAGGCACGTTAAGCCGTTGGTCCCGGTTGCGTTTGCAGTCGTTAATACCCTCCAATCCGCATTGGACCAGCGTGGAGGGTCATGACCCATCCTCCTTAACCATCCGTCCTTAATCATAAGGAAGGCCTGAGCCCCTGCAGTGGGGACGTAAAAGGGCGGGTGACAATAACAAGCTACGGATGTTTGTAATTTCATCTTGACAATGTTTTGAGATTATGTTTTTGTTTGATACAGAATAAGTTGCCGGCACCACCGCCACCAGTGACGATCAAGTCAGAAGCCGGTTCTGACAGCGAAGGCAAAAGTGAACTACCCCATATCAAATCTGAAGAAGGTGAGTGACTCAATCACTAGGATTATTGGATATTCTTCAATCAACGATACAACTAGATGCCTGGTCAGAGTCTCAAAAATGGCCAAAAACGCCGCACTTCAAAGTGAGGTCTTATTATGTTTTAGTTTGTTTGCTATGGCACCAACGTTCGGACGTGTTACATTATTCCGACAGTTATTTTTACAGTTTCAATGCGCACTGTAGAAACTTATATCATTTTTTTGGGTTGTAAATGTCATGTTACAATGTCTTTAATTAATAATCAAAGTATTTACAATAAAATAATAGTTTTGTTTCTGAGCCAACCTACGCGCTAAAATGGCAAACATTTAACTAAATATTCGATGTTCTAAGACATACATCTCGTCGTAGCAGTTTGTATTCTCGATTAGAAAGCCGTTTATACAAACCGAACATGTATGTTTCATACTAAGAAAAATAAAAATTACAACGAATAATTACAAATAAATTACCCAGTTTCGGGACTCAGTTGTCGCCTAGAGTATTTATACAGAATATTCACTGTGGTATTATGTTCCTTGGATGTTGCAGTGTATGGTGCCGTGTATATTGTTTAAGTATCGTTATCTAGTTGTATTATTGATTGAAGGTGGTATTACGTTTGCATTTATTTGATGTCTATAAAACTTGCAGTTAAGTGGTAAATAATATTTTGCCATATACATAACATAAACTTACATGTACGCATCTGTATACAAATATGTGATAGTACGCATATACGTGTGCGTATACGTACACACGCGTACGTATACGTAATATATTAGCACTAGTGTATATGAGTATGCGTGTAGGTAAAGCACAGCCAACTAGCAGCGATACGAAAGGTCATTACCCCGAAAAACGACTATGGAGTTGACAATCTATTATCTATCTCTTTTCATCTTGTGTATTTGTCGCTTTGTCTCGTTCTCCCGGAAAAAATGTGTCAAGGTTAAGATGGGTTCGCCAGGGTTCGCTAACATTCAGGCGTCTATTTTAAATAATAGTGATTTTCATTATTGTCCTCAATGCCAACAAAACATTATTATTATTACCATAATATTATTATTATTCTTTACATTAAAATCTCATACTTGATATATACATTAATAAAATAATTCAAACCATAATTAATAAAAATAGCTGGACCTAAGCTACAAGTCAATGGACTTGAGATACCTCCCTGCCATGCCTATCGTTTTGAGTATTATTATTCGAATTTCAACTCATTGTCTTTTTATTGTTAGATTTTAAGAATAACAATTACATAAAGTAACTCGATGCCAGGTATTATTTAACATACTATTGTCTGCTAATAAAATACATAGTTTTTAAAAAGTTACGCACCCCTGCATTTTCTAGTGACATTGCATTGGTTTTGTTTACATTTGGTATCGCTTCTCGTTGGCCGTACTTTAGATATTCGTCCAGGTCCAAGTGTGTTAAGTGTGATTGTTTTTTGATTTATTATTTGGAAGAATTAGTTCGAATTCTTAAAATAAATTTATAATAAGTACTTCTACCACAAGCTCTGTGTTCCACAAGAGCACACTCGCTTTAAGCAAAAATACCGTCTTTAGAGCTATGCAAATTCATGTTAACTTTTAATTTGTTTGTGACCAATAAAGAGTTACATCTATCTCAATAATAGCTATCCTAATGGTAGTTACGTATATATGCCAATTTTTAACCGGAAACAAAAACTATATTAACAATGTGCATTTTGTCTATACTTTGGATTGATGTTTTAGTTTAAATGAATAGTGTCGTCTACATAGTCGATTTTATGAAAAAAATTATACATAATTAGATCTAAAACGTGAGGAGGAAGCGGCAGAAACAGCGGCGGAGGGCGGAGAAGGTTGGGAACCGTCCGCAAAGAAACGACGCGCCAGTGATGAAGATGATGCGCCCAAAAAGCATGCTTTACGAGCACATCTCGCGTTACAACTCACCCATCACACTAGCAAGGTACAATAATTAATATTAGACATCATCACATACATTGCTCAGATTTCAAGATGAGTATCTGAGACAACGAAGGTATCATAACACCCAGACCCAAGACGATATAAAAAAATATAATTTTCTACATTGAAACGACTGGGAATCGAATATGAGAAATCAGAGATAGCGACACATTGATACCGGCGTGGGAATCATTCAGCTGCTAAACAATATTTTGCTCATAGAAAATAACTTGAATTAACATAAATATTTCAATGAAAAACCAGAGGATAGCAAATATCGTATCGATTTGCGTCATTATTTACTTAGTAATAGGGTTTAAAATCGGGTGAATTGAACAGGTAAATGCCATCGCCAGTCTAATGCACAGAAAACTATTCCATCTCATGTATAACGTTTTTTATATTTTGTCTTAGCCCCTCAAGAAACCATTGTATCCGATCCGTCCAGTGCAGCCTGTGGGTGCGGTAATTAATCCAAGCAATTCTCCGTGGTTAGACCGCGAGGCGATGCTTTGCGTGTTCGCTAAATTAACTCCACATGAGCTAGCCACCTGCGCGCTCGTATGCAAAGCCTGGGCGGAGTATTCGGTCAGTATATCTTTACTTACACGTTAGTTTTTTGCGTCATATGTTGTCGTTGATTTTTACCAATTAATAAATGCACTCCGTAGATTTTTTAATTACATACTAGCTATTTTTCTGCGACTTTACCCGTGTAAACTATACTATGTCACCTGAGTATGATGGAGCTTGCATAGCTTAAATAGTTTTTAAACCAATACAGTAGTTTCGGAGCCTTTTCAATGAAAACAAACGCTTAAATGTTTCCTTTATAATATTAATAAATATAAGTCGTCAAATAAATTAATAACGACAATAACTGACAATTACATATAATAAATAAATATAATTATAGTCATAAACACAATAAGTAATCGGACAACTTTCTCAAAAGTGTCAATCATTATGGGTGTTTATACCCATAAAAATATTATTTTACATAAATAAACCTTATTTAAACTTTATGAATTTTTAACCCCATAAAATTGTTTTTTTTTTTTATTTATCTAATACGACTTTAGACAGTAAATGACATTAAATACTATTTCTTTCTGGTAGTGTTTAATATACTATTATTGATAATTACGCTTTTGTGCTTATTATATTTATAATATTGCTTAAATTAATTATGAAAAAACAAAGATTTTATGCTTGTTCTCACGTGACCGCAAACAGCGCGCTCCTCATACTCATGTCAGAATTTCGAGAATTCAACCTTATGCCCACATAGAACGATATTAGTTCCAGAGGGCCGTGACGTGGAGATAATTAAATTTATTATATTTTTTAACTATTTTTTTAGATGTATGTCATGTATATCCATAAAATACAAATATTGAAAAAGAATGTCTACACCCCTATTGTTGTCCGATCCCTTATTATCACATTATTAACTGTAAATTACTATAGCTGTAAATGTATACTTATATCTATTATAAAAAAGGGAAGATTTGATTGTTTGCATCAAATAGGTCAATCCTATTTCTTCACCTGCAGAGGGCGCTACATTATACATGGGTGATACCTTAGGCTTAACAACTAATTTTGTATAATTTTATGGCTGGAATTGTGGTACGAAATGGCTGACGTTTCAATGTTAATAAAAAAATGAGAATTTTAATAAGAAAATATACACGTTTGATGTCACAGATGGACCCGTCGTTGTGGAGGAGTATGTCGTTTGTTCAAGTTCGTGTTTCGGCGGCACAGTTAGCTGGCATTGCGAGACGTCAACCGCTTTCTTTAGGCCTCGAGTGGTGCCATCTGGCGCGAAGACAACTCGCTTGGTAAGTGTGTGATGGAAAGAAGAGTGAATGGTTGCTCAATCAGAATTTAGTGTACCAACTGTTGAAGGAATAAGGATAGTTGATAATTTCATATAGATTAGATTACTGTCTTGTCTATACCTCGTGTGTTCATAATTTTGAGATGAAATAAAAGTAGCATAACTTTTTTAATAATGAACTTATATTTCTAAAATTTTCAGTAATTATTTAATAGATAATCAACAATAAAATATATAGTTCACTCAAAATTACCGCCCTTGTTTTTAGTACAGGCCCAAAGACGATTTGGAGTAATCAATGGCGGCACGAATCTTTTCTAGCCTAATTTGCCTTGCTTCTCTTGCTTGATGATTGCGGGTGCTTTTTGCCTTATGGGATGGCACCGAGTCTTGCTAGAAAACCCAATCCTTATTGTGAAATAATGTATCAGACAGTAGTTTCACCACGGGCTCTAAAATGTCACTCTGATAATTCTTGGCTTTCATATTGACACTAGTTTGCAGAGCGAGTTTCTTCTGAGTGCGACATGGATTTCGGCGAAGTCGCTCTCGGATGATTTTGATGTTCGCAGGCGTCCTCACAGAGCGTGGCCGACCACCCCTTTGGCGATCTTGCAGAGACTTTGTCTCTGTACCGCTGTATTGTGTAATAGACGAAGTTACGGCTTATAGGAAAACTTTTCAGCTCGCGGAAAATCTGCATCGGTTTTTTTCCCACCCTAAATAGCGAAATGATATATATATATTAACTCCCACCAATCCGTACTGGGCCCGCGGCTCATAGTCCGTTCTTCCAGTTCCATTCGATGAACTTGATGATTAAATACATGTACGCTTTCATAGGTTACTGGCGCGACTACCAGCGCTCCGTTCTCTATCGCTGGCCGGTTCACCGGCCGAGGCGGCGTTAGCGTTACGCTCGTCTACATGTCCGCCGCTGACGTCACTAGATCTATCCTTCGCCCGTTGTCTGGACGACGCGAAGCTCCGAGGAATACTGGCGCCGCCCGAGAACTCTAGACCTGGTGGTGGAGCGAGAACTGGCGCGGAACCGTCCCGACTTGCGGCGCTCAGTGTGTTGAGACTGCCCGGAACTGATATCACAGACGTAGCAATGAGATACGTTGTACAGGTAATATATATTTTTATAACAATGAAAATGTGTGTTCTTTTATAATTCTGGGTTTTTACTTGTAAATGTCAAGCTTTAGAAAGTTCTTGCACATTTTTGTTACTAGCTCTGCGCCTATATTAATGTATCGAGTGTGTATAAAGTGTGTATAAACAGTTCAAAAATAAAAGTCGAATCATTGTTTAACTTAAATGAAGATTTTTTTCTAAATTAAAATAAATGAAATTCTTAGTTCAAAAGAAACTAATCGATTTGCTCTGTTAATGGTTACATTCGTGGATACACGCTTGTCTCAAGATTTCGTAATCTCTGAGACCTCGGATTTGATTCTATCGGTCAGTTGCACAAATGTCCATTAAGGTTTAATGACACCTTTAATCTCTAATGAATGTCAAATTCGTATGGGTAATGTCGCCTTAAACTAATGATAATTTTAATTGACGTTTGTGCAAATGGCTGTTAGTCTGGTAGAAAATGATATTTTCTATATTGTCTTGGATCTGATTGTTGTTGTACCTTCGTTGTTTCAATTTGTCTTAATCCAACTAGCTAATACTTTATTTGGAATCTCAACATTATATATGATGTTTAAATTCCACTTAACTGACCCATCATAAGCGATTTAATATAAATTACCTTCTAAACATATAATAATTTTACAGGCGTTACCAAAGCTCTCCGAGTTGGACGCGTCATCCTGTGCGCGTCTCACAGACGCGGGCGCAGCTCAGTTAGCTCACCACGGACTTCAGCGGCTGTCATTGGCCGGCTGTCGACTTCTTACCGAGGCGGCTTTAGATCATCTCGCGAGGTGTCCCAATCTTATCAGGTAAATTAATCGTCTCATATTACATGTACATGTACAGTAACATGACATGTCGAATCTTACCTTTTAAATATACGGGTACTCGTTACACTATCAATAAACATGTTGACGTTCAGTGTATTAAAATGTTACGTCAGATGATGTATGATGTGACATAGTATTTATAACTGCTTTTCAGAGTTCCATATAATATTACGTACTGTTTTGTCTTCAGGCTGGATCTTCGACATGTGCCACTCGTCTCCACGCAAGCTGTTATCAAATTCGCTGCCAAGTCAAAACACAATTTGCACGTGCAGGATGTGAAACTAGTCGAGTTGAGGAAGACCTGATCCGTCGAGCTTACTCTGCCCGCTGCAACCGCTACCTGAGGGGTGCAAAATTTATTGCCCGGGATATTGGGGGTCAGTTGTTTTGAATTTAGTTTGATTCGTATGAAATTTAAATATCGTCACGTTGGTAGGTATGTTGGTCTGTCAATAATAATGTTATAATTTGAACAGACGCACCGTAAAGAAATTTATAACGATCTCAAGATGTCTGTTTCTGTGAAAATGATAATAAATAAAATTGAAACGATATATATGTAGTCAGCTGTTTTTTTCTGTTTCTTGAGATGCGCATTTGAATGAGAAATACACAGTGTTACGTCATGTATTATGAACTATATAAATTGGCTTTTGGACAGTTGCATCTATAGCATGGCATTTGTTACTAAAGTAACTTATATATACATTCAACCTTCAATAACTACTATTCTTAAATGTAACAGAGTGCATTTCAATTTTATCACAGGTTTCTGTTATCATCAACAAGGTTTGTGAAGATAGAAAACATTTTTTTTAAAGATTGTGAAAAGTACGGATTTTCTAAAGATCTATCTATTTTATAAAAACTGTCAAGCAGTCAATTGTATTTTTACATAATCTTTTTAGTTGTTTTAAGATTTATTTGGTATATTATTTTAGTTAATGACTATACAAAGAAGTTTGATGATTAAGATTTGTTTTGTTTCTACGCGCACACTCTTAATTTTAAACAACTGACTCGTGATATGGGGCCGTCCTTAAATTACGTCACACGAAATCCATGATTTTACCCCCCCCCCTTAATAAATATTGTTCTAATGTCACAGTTCTTTGACCCCCCCCCCTCCCTCTAACGTGTGACGTAATTTATGGATGGCCCCTATGTGAATCAGGCAAGCATGTTAGAAGTATTCTGATTTCCTCATATGCTTTGGTACAATCTGTGCCTTGTGATATGTATGAGAATATGATAATATCGAGTGATATTTAGGAACTATAAACTAGCGACTGGCCTGATTCTTACGGGATTGGATGGAACTTAAGACGTGTTACCGCGGGCTGGTGATGTGATGGCGTGGCAATTTAGGCCTCATTTTTGGTTACTTTAAAGACGTGATCTTGATAGCAATAACACAAGCTATTCTAAGATAGGTTTTTCTGTACACTTATACATCTATGGGTACACATAGTTTAATTATCTTTTAAATTCAATGACTGTTTAAAATAATAGTTGCATATCGGATTTTTTATTTTATTTTATTGACATTGTTTGTACAAAGTTGATTTTTATCTATTGACAAGTTTTTTTTTTAATAACAAAATAACTGTTGTGTAATATTTCGTGACGATCTATACAACATATCAAGAACGCCTATATTTCTACGCCATCATTGAAATTGTACTGTAGATATTGAAGCAAAGACTTAGTAAGTTTATCCTATTATAATATTGTTGAAGTGATACGAAATTCGATTATAGTTATGCGGTTCACAATTGAACTGAAATGGGTTAGTCAAAAAGAAATATAAGATATATATGTATGATTGCCACAATGAAACCAAATGATCAAATATTTTGGGCCCATCAATTTTGTTGTTTTTTTTTTCTCCATGAGACATACAAGTCGTTGATATTAATTGTTAAATATTTGAGAAAAATAATGTCATTCACAAATTGCAATATAAAAAATCAGTGCCAATATGTTTTCTACTGTGTAGCACGTATTATAATGCACAATCAATGATGAATAGATAAGAAAAAAAGTTATATATATTTAATTTTATTGCATGCTGTTGCATTGGTATTATATTTTATTGTTAATTTTACACATTTGGTTGGAGCCGCGCGAGGCTTATACAAAATAAATATACATTGACTGAAATTTCTAATATATGTATCAATTTAGTGTATAACCGAATTGTATTTACACCGTTAGCTTATATTTTATGTCATGAAATCCTGAAAATAAACTTGAAACTTGTCATTGGGTGGTGTCAGTTTTATTTGAAAAATTATATACGGTAGTTTTGTAGTATCTATTAAAAAGTCAAAACAATATGGTCATCTAATCGAAATTAATAAAACATTCATGGATAAAAATTGAACACACATTAATTTTATTACGATGGGTCTTATTAACATATTGTATTTAGCTTTGTGTTTATTACATAAAATATGAGCTAACGCGTATTGAAGTATTTTATCAAGAAACATTTAATTTCACCTTGTAAATAGTCGATTTATTTATTACGCCGTTCCGTTGATTTTAGTTCATGACAATTCAAAATTTACTAGGTTGTATTTTTTTAGTTCTAGTCGCTTTTTAGTTATAAGTCAATAATAGGTATTACTTATAGAAAACTGTGACAGTGTTGGGTTTGTGTAAATAGTATTGATGCAGGAGTTTGATGTATTCATCATTAAAAAACGAATCAAGAATATTAATTCAGTTGCGAATAGCGAAGATAGGCATCGGTAATTTTTTTATTATTTTGTAATAATAATGAAGTAAAAACTTATGACAATTTAATGTGAATGTTGCGAAGTAGTAACTTTTGTCTTAATGCAGCTTTTTTATTGTTAATATAAGAAAAGTTTCTTATAAACATGTTAACCGCGTGGTCTTATTGTCACATTTTTGTTCCCAATAGCTAGACACGCAAAGTATAAGCAAAAATGTCAATCATCAAATACTTTGAACCAAGTGTATTTATACAAAACTACGCACAATAATTTCACAATACATAGCAGGTGCCTAGGAAAATTTAATAATGTATTTTTAATTATACAGTTTTTGAGAAAGCAATAAATTATATTTGTGATTGAACATCGTGAAATAGTTTAAACATATATATAATATTTCAACCGATTGCGCACTAAAAATCTACTTTCAAATTGAAAAATATACATAAAATATAATTGAAAAATCATCGCTTTCTATACTACCAGCCACAATATGGTACAAAGCACAAAGCTGTTCTTATCCGAAATCCTGTTCTCTTGTATATATATGTAGGATGAATACACCATGTTAGATTTTAAGAAAACCGACTCTGGTCACAGTAAGCAAGGTCGGAGGGCCGCCTATAGTATTAGTTTTGGATGGTTGAGACTGGGACTCTGCGCGGACTTATCATAAGATTCCACTGAGAGAGTAATAGTTTTATTATACATATTATGATTATCTGTTATTAAGGCAAGCGAAAAAAGGGACAAGACGCAATAGTGAGCGTTAAAAGTGAAATACTGCGTTAGGTTATACGGGACCTTATAGGTCAATGGCCTCACAATGGACTCCGGAAACGTTATAGAGTTATATCGCGTAAGATATATCGATAGCGATATGTATCGTTTACATAATAATTTTGTTTCTTGTCCTTTTTTTTTGCGTGTCCTAAGAATAGACTTGAATAAAATATGCACAGTAACTGAAGAAGCTTTATCTAAATTTTGTACTTATATCATTGTGTTCTTTATTTTATTTGCAGCATTTTAAGTGATAAATATGTTTTTAGATTGTAAAGAAAATTTGATTCGTAGGCTACCATAGAACCTTGTCTCTTTAACTATTTGATAAATTGACGTCAATAATTTTAAGAGGATCAACTTTCATAACAATAATTGAAACTTAAGTCAAAAGAGTTTGTTTTTCAATAAATATGTACTTGTAAAAATTTATTTATTTACTTGACATTGGCAGAATTGTGCGAAATGCGTAGATATTAATGATGGCTATAAGAGAAGAAAGAAAGAAATAGATTTGACAAACTAATGTCATTGAAGTCTATGAGTTGGTTTTTATTAATATTGACAATGGAATATAATAATGTCGTTTTCGATGCAATTTATGGTACAAGACATTATAATATCATGATTTTTACTGTTATCGTCATTCGATAAGTTTTATTTATTTACTACTAAGATATAGTTTATATAGTGGCCTAGGAATCAAAGTGGCTCTTAACGCTATAAATACACACAAGAATTATTGTTGTTACAGTTCTAGTTGCTAGATTACAACACATTGATGATATTTGTCACTAATCACTATTGAGTTATCTAGAAGTTATTGTAATTATAATTTTGGGTCTCAGACATAGTGATAAAACATTACCAGAATCGAGGGTCTGTAATACACTGTTGCGTAATATTAAAGGGTGTATTGTGAATTAATAGTAAAAAACAGCGTTTTCTAATATTTTCTCCATCATGAGGTCAAGGGAGTCCAACCTTGATAAAAAATAATTTCGTACCATTTATTTGTATTAAGAAAATGGTCCATTTTATTATAACACTAACATAATATAAAAAATTCTAAATAGGTATATAATATTTGGATTGATTAATATTGAGATTTAATTCTGCGTGCAGGCCCCCATATTCTCGTGGAACCTACGAGTCCGCGGATCACTGGCTGGGAAATGCTGATCTAAATGAGGGTACAGTAATTTCCAACTAATATTTCCCGTGGCGAGGTTACAAATTTTGACGACGTATAAATATGCGATTATAATTTATTATCAATCTTGTTTCAACAACAATAAGGTGTAAAATACATCGCATTAGGTGTCCGTTTCACTCACAGCCCGATGGCACGCTACTTGAATAATTCTCATTAGCTGATATATACCACATTTTGAAATTTAGCCTTCTGCGCTAGTACACACGGCTGCATGTCAGGTTATTACAATATGTCGAATTTCTGCAATGGATTTTGACCTCTACCCCTCTTTGTAGGATTAAATTTTAAGGAGATTTGACAGTTTTGTATAGTCACATGTGCAGTTGACTCAAATCAGTGAGCCGCATTAGTTTTATCTTACTTTACAGTGTTTACGTTTTGTAATAGTAAATTGTATATGAAATAAACACAAGTGGATCGATGAGTTCGCGCAGAGGTGTACCGCGGACTGTATATTATTAATATAATTCGTTATGGAGTAACATTTTTACTTGGAACAATTCGCTCTACAGAAAGTGAGCTAGTGTCTAAGAATCGTGTGCCTCAGTGTATAGACTTAGAG